ATAAGGTAAGATTTACTTGGTCACAACACGCAGGATGTGATATGAATTAATTCTTTATCTTGGTTTTACTTATCAATGAAATCTTCTGGGGTTTTTTTTATCGTTATGTAAATTTATTTCTGTCGAGTGTAAACAAAAGCGGCCATTTTGGAAGCGTCCATTTTGTGGTTCTTTGTCTGTTGTTGTTATGGTCTTACAAGTGGCCATTTTGTGTAGCCTAAACCTGACAATTGGCCTTCTTGTGTAGCCTCAACCTGACAATTGGCCATCTTGTGTAGCCTAAACCTAACAAATGGCCATCTTGTGTAGCCTCAACCTGATAAATGGCCATCTTGTGTAGCTTCAACCTAACAGAAGGCCATTTTCTGTAGTTTCAACCTAACAAATGGCCTTTTTGTGTAGCCTCAACCTGACAGAAGGCCATTTTGTGTAGCCTCAACCTGACAAATGGCTCTCTGTGGCCTCAACCCAACACCTCAGGTGGCCCTCAACCCAACAAACACCTTCAGGTGGCCTCCTCAACCCACCAAATGGCCATTTTGTGTCGCCTAAACCTGACAATTGGCCTTCTTGTGTAGCCTCAACCTAACAAATGGCCTTCTTGTGTAGCCTCAACCTGACAGAAGGCCATTTTGTGTAGCCTAAACCTGACAATTGGCCATCTCGTGTAGCCTCAACCTGACAGAAGGCCATTTTGTGTAGCCTCAACCTGACAGAAGGCCATTTTGTGTAGCCTAAACCTGACAATTGGCCTTCTTGTGTAGCCTAAACCTGACAATTGGCCATCTTGTGTAGCCTCAACCTAACAAATGGCCTTCTTGTGTGGCCTCAACCTAACAAATGGCCTTCTTGTGTAGCCTCAACCTGACAGAAGGCCATCTTGTGTAGCTTCAACCTAATAGAAGGCCATTTTGTGTAGTTTCAACCTAACAAATGGCCTTCTTCTGTGGCTAATATGAGACCCGAATATGTCCCTGAAGGTGGCCCTCTTGTAATCGTAATCTGTCCCTGAAGGTGGCCCTTTTGTGACCCTAATATGGCCTAGGAAGCGGCAATCTTGTTTCACACGTAGCGTAAGGAGGAGAAGGGGAGGAAGAAAGAAGGAGAGGGTGGAAGGGATAGGTAGAAGGAGGAAGAGGAGGATAAGGGGAGGGTGGCAGGGTAGGTAGAAGGAGAAGGAGGAAGAGACTATCGAAAGGGAGAGTGGAAGGGGTAGGTAGGTAGGAGAAGGAGGAGGGAGGAAAGGGAGGAAGGGGTAAGCAGGTGGGAGAAGAAGGGGAGAAGAAGGAAGGGGAGGGTGGAAAAGGTAGAGAGAAGGAAGAAGGGGAGAAGGAAGAGGGGGTTAGAAAGGGTAGGTAGGTAGGAGGAGGAGGAAGAGGAGGAGGAGGAGGAGGAGGAGGGGGAAGGCTTTTATGACCCCATTTGTAGCGGAGGAAGAACACTTTGCATGCTCCGTCACCTTTAACCCCTCCCCACAACTCCCCCCTTCCCCTCCCCCTAACTCCCCCTTCCCTCCTACAGCTCTCCCCCCTCCGACCCCTTACACAGCACAGGTACCGATTCATTTTGTTGTTGTTTTTTGTTTTGTTGTCGTGTGTTTGACATAATGCTGTGCTGGGTTAATGTGTCTGTTAGTTTTGTTTTGTCTTTGACCTCCTTTCTGTCTTTTATTTGTCTGTCTGTCTGTCTCTTTGTCTCTTTCTCGATATATTCTTCTTAAACTGCCTCTCTCTCTCTCTCTCTCTCTCTCTCTCTCTCTCTCTCTCTCTCTCTCTCTCTCTCTCCTACTCTCTCTCTCTCTCTCTCTCTCTCTCTCTCTCTCTCTCTCTTCTTTCTATAATTTCTTGTTTTTATTTCTTGTTGTCATCAATTTCTCTGTTTCTGTCTGTCTCTTTGGCTGTCTTTTATCTCTCTGTCTCTCCTTCCCCCTCTCTCTCTCTCTCTCTCTCTCTCTCTCTCTCTCTCTCTCTGTCTCCTCCCCTTCCCCCTCTCTCTGTTTTTTTGTTTTTTCTTTACTGTCCCCCGCCAACTCTCTCTCTCTCTCTCTCTCTCTCTCTCTCTCTCTCTCTCTCTCTCTCTCTCTATCTCTCTCTCACTATCCATGTAAACAGAAAATGGACAACTAAAGGTTGAACACAATACAGGGAATAAATCGTCGTGGCCAGGTACAACTAAACACTACACCGTGTATATATTTATTTTCAGCCAACTTAAATTCATTACAGGTGAAGAAGGTCGAATCAACACGACGTCGTTCTAACGAGAGAGAGAGAGTCACTAGACGAAATAATTGAGATAAAAATCGCAAAACTTCCAATTCTAAACGTGATATATTTTCCCCTTTTTTTTTAATTTAAAGTCCATAAAACAGTCAAGTACTAATCTTATATGTACTATTTACGACTGTGTTATCAGTGCCCAGCCGATGTTAGTATCCTGGTCACGATAGCCCTCTTACTACTAGTGTTCGGTAGCTAGTGAGTTACTCCACTACCTTGGCTGGACAGTTTGGACACCCAAGAGTTGTCCCACTACCTACAGACGTACCCTGGTAGTGTACTCCTTTTACTGTTGATTGGACTGCGGCGAAGGTAATATGTGACAGTTCTACTCGGGAAAAAAGTCAGTTCTTCGCCACACACACACACACACACATACCCTCCAGTCACATAAGACCTTCATAAGCGTAATATTGGCAGAATTCTATTAAAGTCTCTCTCTCTCTCTCTCTCTCTCTCTCTCTCTCTCTCTCTCTCTCTCTCTCTCTCTCTCTCTCTCTCGTATACATACATAGACAAGCATTAAATAAAACAAGAATTTCCAGACAAACAAAAAATATTATCATCAATTAATACAAAACTTCCCAGACAACATGAGTCTCACCTGCTATTATGTCATCGCAACCACCAACTCCTATCGATAACAGGTGATTGACGTGCCATTCAAATGTTAACATGAATTGATAATATCCATCAGAGAAATCATTTAGTCTGGTGGACCTCGCTTTAGTTAACATCGTCCCAACAGTCGCTATAATATCACTGTTTAATTAAAGTTATTCTAGTTTTTGCCAGAAGGAAGATTTTGATTGATGTCTCATTCGTTAAATTGAAGCATTCTTAAGTTAGACTTCAGTGAAAACAAAAAATACAATATACAAAGTTGTAATCAAGTACTTTAATATTACCTAATTGTCAAGTTAAGTACATGTCACAGAAGCAGTGATCTGATAGAGGAGGAATTAAGTTTTTTATTCACTCGGCCACCGCACGCACCCCTGTGAGTAGAGATCAGGGTCAGGCATTAGACATTACGATGTTAAGGAGTACCTGTCGGAAAATCTACTCAAACAAGTACTTCAAGGACGAGTGAATTTTCTGTCTCCTAATAAATGTTGCAAAGTTCTTACATATATTGATTACAGGTACCGCTCCTCCTTCCCTCCTTTCTCTTCTCTCCCTTCTTTCCTGTAACCTTCCCTCTCCCCTCCTGTAACCCCCCACCCCTCCTCCCTTGTAACCTCCCACAAGTTTTTTTTTTCACCTGAGCGCCGACGTTGCATATTCCTGCAATTTGCATGTAGGTTGTAAGGTTTTCTTCAGTCCTGGTGCGGAAGAACTCAGCTCAATACGACAGTCTCTCACGAGGCTCACCTTAACATGTCACCTACTGCTCTCACTGCATGCATATTTCGTCCCTGTCTCTTATTTAACTCTCTCTCTCTCTTTCTCTATCTCTTTATCTCGATCTCTTTCTTTCTCGTTTTTTTTCTATTTTTACATTCACTCGTGTTTTCCCTTCGAGAATTCTTTATATCCTTACATTTGTTTTTTTCCATTTTTTTCCGCTTGTACAGTATTTTGTGTTTCTTGTTCATTATTGTTGGTTTTTCTAGGTCTCTCTCTCTCTCTCTCTCTCTCTCTCTCTCTCTTGTTTTCTCTGCTATATTGTTTCCCTTTTTTTACCCTTGAATTTATTTGCATATTTCTGTTTCACATTTTTTATTTAGATTTTTTCTGTTACTTTCTCATCTCTTTACTATACAGTATATTCTGTATCACTCCCCCTCTCTCTCCCTCTCTTCGTCCTGTTATCTTCCTTTTTTCACTTCTCCCTTCTCCATATTTTCCTCCCTTTAATACCTTACCTCTTCCCTAGCTGAAACCCGCAGTATCATCAAAATAAACACACACACACACACACACACACACACACACACACACACACACACACACACACACACACACACACACACACACACACACACACACACACACCACCGAAATATGAACATAATCAAAAGTGACAATTTCGTTTCGTAAAGAAGTGGGATTTGTATTGAGCAGTGATGAACAATGTTTAAACCACTGAATTCAGCACTAGACAGTACCAGTGAGAGCCGTGACTCACCAGTAACATACGCACCCTTGGGAACTGACCAGCATCCCCTGACCAGGAGATGTTAATCACTCCACCCTGGGAACAACAGGGGGTCGGCTTTACACCTGACTGCGAGATAACACAACACCACCTAGCGGAGAGTGAGGTACTGTGACACCACCCCACACCACCCAGTGTCTCCATGACCACGTGAGGTCCTTCACATCAACACCCAAGGACGAGTTACTACACCACGTGAACACCACACCACCAGATGTCTCCATGACCTTGTGAGATCCTTCATGTCAACACCTTTGGACGAGTCACTACACCCCGTGGCCTATGAGACCTCACACAGTATGGCAATAGACCAGCCCGGGCCATCAATTGCAAACTATAATAATTTGTCTGTTCAATTTATGTTCCTTTTCTATTTACTAATGAAAAATTTTGTTAAACAACCCACCCACCCCATGTCTTTGTATGTAATAAGTCATTTTTGTCTAGTGTATATTTTCAGGCTTCGGGTTGCAGAACTTTTTCAATAAACCGTTAATTATTATTATTATTACACACACACACACACACACACACACGAACAAATAAACTCCAATACTCACGCTTCAGTTCGTAAGAGGAGGCGGAGGAGATGATGACCGCCATCAGCACCACGATTGCTCCTATGAGGTGTCCGTCCATCAAGCTACCTCTTAACCTCCACCTCGACCTCCAGCCTGACGGAGGTAAGGACCGTCTGCCCTGAACGTCCGCACTGCCTTGACTCGTCCAGCTGTTCTCTCGTGGTAGGTGGTGTTCCCGGGTGCTGCTCTTCCTCTTGATGTGGGAAAATATTCGTCGGGGTGTAGAGGCGTGAAATCCTGTGGGTGTATCGTTTCGGGTGTGGGGATGTTGTGGTGGGGGTGTAGAAGAAGTGTGGCGCTGTATATTTGGGTGTGTTGGTGTGGGTAGTGCAGCAGGAGCAGGGGATGGCACGTCAGACGGGAATATGGTGGGATACGACACGGTTACGGATTTAGCCGAAACTGGACGCCGCGGAGATGAAGGTGGTAGTGTTACAGCGATGACATAAGATACGTTTGTGACTGCAGAGGAACATGAAGCACCAGTGGAGACGCCTGCAGTGTGTATTATACAAGGTGAAAGTGCAGTAATGGAATTAAGAGCTGCTGTGTTTGGGGATCTAGGATATGGTAATGCAGCAGCCGTATAGATAACATTCTGGGGCAGTGTGTGGGACTCCAGGTCACCGACGGGACTTGTGCTGGTGAGAACAACAACAGGTGAGGGGGGAGATGCAACGTCAGTATTTACAGTTAAACAACTAAACGAAGGAACAGTTGATGATGGCAGCCTAACAGCGAGTGACGGTAGTGTGGACGAGGGTGTGAGTGTCAAGGGTCCCTCAGGTGGAGATAATGCAGGTGAGGGTAATGACTTTAATACTAATGATGACATGGCTATAGTGATTGTTGTTGTACGTGAAGCATTAGAAGAGGGAGTTAATGAGAGAGATGGTGGTGGTGGTGTGGTCTGCTGATCTGAAGACTCGTCCGCAACAGTTCTGAAGGGACTCTGTCGTACTGTCCTGTGCAGTGAACTGTATTTATTGAGGAATACTGTTCGGTTCTGCTTAGGTCCTTTGTACACACCACATTGTGTACATCTCCCCACGTTTTCTGTCCTGTGTATCTCACACTGTGTACATCTCTCAAAGTTTGTCCTACACACTTCCCATCTTGAACATCGTTCCCTACAGTCTGTTCTACGCACCTCATACTGTGTACATTGCCACTCGTGGCTTGTTCTGTAAACCTCGCACTGTGTACACCTTGCCACGTGGTCTCTCCTGTACATTTCGCACTCTGTACATCTCTCCACATTTTCTTCGCTACAAACACCATACTGTGTGAAGGAATATCCAGGGATATTGTTTTCTCGAGTTGTATTACAAACACATTCTGACTCCCGAGATGAACAGCAGCCAACACTCACGAGTTCTACTGACTGTTTACCCACACACGTACAGTCAACTTCACCGAGAATATCCAGTCTTTTGGCCAAATCCACCTCAGTCATTGTACTTCCACTCACTATACCAGAAGGATGGTTATACTTTCTAATATATCTAGAACCGGGACAGAATGATACGCTCAAATTACTCACTGTGCAAGATTATTCGCTATACTTTTTTGATATGCTCAACACCAGAGACAGAAGGACATCTTACTTTCATTCATCGAGAACTTTGACCATAATTTCTGTTGATCTTTGATGTACTGTCCGGAGTTATAACATAAGACTCTCATTCATAGACTCCACAGCTCCTGGTATATCCTAACAGGTGAGCCTCAGTAACATATACGTCCAGCACTCAAGAGATAAAACACAGCCACTTAGATCCGCTTTCCCTTATTGGCTGCCGACTCAGTGTGGGTGCAGGAGCGGATGAATGGTGACACACTACCCGCTCTTAACTCCGGGTCGTGTTGGTGGTGTGCTGCTGGAAACATGTCTCACTGTTTGTCAGACGGGGATGGTGTTGTCTTGGGCTCCGTCTGTCACTGTCTCGCCTCCTGCCTGCAACACAAAAGAAAATGTGAAATGAACATGTGGATTTGCATACGACGTTGTGTAATTAGAATATATATTGTATTTTTTAGCGTTTGTCTTTGATGCCGTGTGTAAAATGTTTGTATATATCGAACACACAACACACGCTACACTAAATACTAATAAAGTTTATAAATTTTATAAAGGAAAATATTAGGCTGCCAAATCATCATTATTAATAGTATCATAACTATTATTGAACTTGTCTGGTGGACCGCGTCAGTTAACACACTCAGTGACTGGTGGACCGCGTCAGTTAACACACTCAGTGACTAGTGGACCGCGTCAGTTAACACACTCAGTGACTGGTGGACCGCGTCAGTTAACACACTCAGTGACTGGTGGACCGCGTCAGTTAACACACTCAGTGACTGGTGGACCGCGTCAGTTAACACACTCAGTGACTGGTGGACCGCGTCAGTTAACACACTCAGTGACTGGTGGACCGCGTCAGTTAACACACTCAGTGACTGGTGGACCGCGTCCAGTTAGTGACTGGTGGAACTGGTTGACCGTGTCAGTTAACACTCAGTGACTGGTGGACCGCGTCAGTTAACACTCAGTGACTGGTGGACCGCGTCGGTTAACACTCAGTGACTGGTTGACCGTGTCGTTAACACACTCAGTGACTGGTGGACCGCGTCAGTTAACACTCAGTGACTGGTGGACCGTGTCAGTTAACACACTCAGTGACTGGTGGACCGCATGTTAACACACTCAGTGACTGGTGGACCGCGTCAGTTAACACTCAGTGACTGGTGGACCGCGTCAGTTAACACACCCAGTGACTGGTGGACCGCATCATTAACACACTCAGTGACTGGTGGACCGCGTCGTTAACACTCAGTGACTGGTGGACCGTGTCAGTTAACACACTCAGTGACTGGTGGACCGCGTCCAGTTAACACTCCATGACTGGTGGACCGCATCAGTTAACACACTCAGTGACTGGTGGACCGCGTCAGTTAACACTCAGCGACTGGTGGACCGCATCAGTTAACACACTCAGTGACTGGGGATACTTATCGCCTGTCTGTTTTCTTTTGTCTGTTTCATGTGTATTTTATTTCTCTCTCTCTCTCTCTCTCTCTCAACCAGTTATTCTACAGTATATCACTAGAGTAAATCCTTTATTACAATCCTCTATGAAAATTAATATAATCTCACATAACTGATTTATTCACTAGTATAATATGTCCTAAAATAGATCCATTACATCCGGATATATTAATTAATTCGCTAATATATATATATATATATATATATATATATATATATATATATATATATATATATATATATATATATATATATATATATATATTATATATATATATATATATATATATATGCACATGTCCGGGAAAATGACCAGGACAAAATCTTTTTTAGGAAACTCTACCATGGAAAAAAAATATATATATATTTATTGGTATATATATATACATAAATTTTTTTTTTAGGGCAAATTCCACCACGCGTACATTTTATAATTTTAGTTTATTAACCAAGAATACTGTAATAAAGTGTTTGTAACGATGAGAGTATTTTCAGTTTATTTAATTTTTTATTTATTAAATTTTTTCATGAAGGCTTAATTGCGTACTGCACACTCACATTACCCAGCTTCACAAAAGGGTTGGACAGTACAGGTGTGGGGAGGTACTCTACTTATCTGCTTAATTTTAGGTAAAACACGATTATACCTTAAAACAGCATTAGATTATAACCACTATGCTTCAATCTAAAATTACCATCCGTTGTTTTTGTTATATTTCTTATTCAGATACTAAATAAACGTATCTAGTTAATCAGTAGTCACAGTAGTGTGTATTTATTGCTATTTATTGCTATTTGAGGATAATAGCTTAATCCCTCAGCTTAAGTCGATCACTTAAGTTCACTATTAACGTCTTCAGTTAGCAGGATTATTCACCATTACGAACATGTGATGAACTAGACCCTAAGTTTACACTATATGACGGGTGGGGGAGTGGGCAATAGTTAACGATATGTGACCTTTAGAGACGTATATATGCAATTGGAATCTAGGTGTTGTGGAAGAAAGTGTGGTGTGGTGTGGTGTGGTGTGGTGTGGTGTGGTGTGGTGTGGTGTGGTGTAGTGTGGTGTGGTGTGGTGTGGTTGTGCTTATCGTGAAACATTTCGGAGTGATTTTTTTTATACGAATGTCACTCAAAATAAAAATAAAAAAATCATATCTTGAAGGAAAAGGGCGATAAAAATACTTAGTGTGTGTGTGTGTGTGTTAATAAATATTCAAATATATTATATGTTTTAAAAGCACATGATAGATTAGATTATGGATAAATAATAAAAAAATGGAGGTAAATATGTGATACTGCTTAACGTTTAGAGTTTATAAACGAGGCATTTTCATGTTCTTTAATAGCTAATGGAAGGAGCTCAGAGAAACGAGCTTGTGTTAGGAGTGGTAGTAGTAGTAGTAGTAGTAGTAGTAGCAGTAGTAGTAGAATTGAATTGAATTGAATTGAATTGAATTGAATTGAATTGAATTGAAACAGTTTATTTAGCCAGAAAAACACAGATACAGAGTGGATAATAATAACAATATTAACATGGCTGAGCCAGTTGAGAACCTGAGCTCTCTTTGAGGCACCTGATATATACTATACATTTACCTCAAGGAAGTATTATGTAACATTTAGTGTCATCTGGAATAGTACAATAGCATGGTGGTAATAAGTACATCTCATAATGTTACCACGGTTATCACTTCAATATTTATTAATCTTATTTATTTATTTTTTTTAGTTTATTTTTTTATTTATATTATGAGTATATACATAATTACAGTGGAATTGGAAACATAAGTATAATGGGGGAGCAGTACAACATGGGCTGTACAGTACTATGGTTGAACAAGAGGACAGAGCTGTCGGGATTATGTCTAGTTGGCAAATATGTTTATTGCAATGGTAATTGCTTATCTATTTACATGATAATTTCCTATAAAACGGTTTTGATGGTACAATAAAAGCAGGTACTGTAAATATAGTAGGTGTTACAAGAAATATTAATACTTAGACAATAGATATTTTTTAAGAGGTGATTTAAAGGAAGGGAGCGTAGTCTTTGCTCGGATAGGTGGGGGAAAGTTGTTCCACACCTTCACACAGTGATATTTTATGGAGGTCTGGGACTGAGCGGAGCGCACGGGGGGAAGTCTTAGTAGCTCTGGGTGCCTTAAGTTGTATCTCTGATTATTCCGGAACTGGAAATAATTAGTATAGATAGTATAGGTAGTTAGGTAATAAAATGTAGAGAAGGTATGGCTATAAGGTCCGGCTGGCCAGTTTAAGGTATGCCCACCCAATGCATTGGTGGCTCATCCTACGATATCTACCACGCCATGGTGTGCAAGAAGGGGGGGGGGCTTCATAGGTTATGCATGAGGCATGACGAAGTAAAGGATCTCACAGCAAATATACTGAAGGAAAGCAGCCACGACGTCATGGGGGAACCGACCCTCCTTCCGCTGGATGGTGGAAATCTCCATCACAGGACTTCAAACACACCCAACGAAGCCCGTGTGGACGTCAGTGTTCGAGGATTCTGGACGCGGAAAAAGCGAGCCTTCTTTGTTATCAGGATATTCGACTCCATGGCCGCATGTCACGTAACCTCTCTCTCAAGGCTGCACACAAGAGAAACGAGAACGACAAGAACAGAGAATAATCTAGGAGAATTCAGAATGGATCAAGTCAACTTCGCTCCTCTGGTTTTCACAGCATTTGGCAAGATGGGACCAAGTGTAAGACGCTTTTCCTCAATAAAACGAGATATTTGGCTCTTAAGTCTACAACAGTTACATATATTGACTATCAGAGTTGTTACTTTTGTATTGGGATATTAATATTAAGGTGATAAAATGGTGGCGAAGGTGTGGCTGTAAGAGGATATTGGAGGCCGCACTAGTTCATCACACTTAACCCAGCCAATTGCCTAACGACCTCAGTGCAATGGGTGATAACTGGGTGACAAACTAATGCACACAAACACGTTTTCGGATGATCCTAAATGAGTGACAGTGATAACTATACAAACAAAATGGTTTAGACTAAGTGACATTAATACATATATGGGAAATTACTTTAAGGTCTTTATGGATAACATTAATAATACTGCGATAATTTAAGGACTCTTTAGCTTTAAATTTATAAAAAAAGTCAGAGAGAGAGAGAGAGAGAGAAAGTAGAGAGAAGAGAGAAAGTAGAGAAGAGATACAGCGAAAAAGACAGACAGATAGAAAGAGAGTAGAAAGAGAGAAAAAGGGAAAGAGAGAGAGAGCAGAGGCAAACAGACAGACAGACAGAAAAAACAGAGAGAGAAAAGTAGGCAGAAGATAAAGTAGAGAGAGGAGAGAGAGAGAGAGAGAGAGAGAGAGAGAGAGAGAGATCTACCTAAAGACATTAACAGCTCAAGCACACATTAGAAAGTGGCGGGAATAAAAAATTAGCGGTTTATGTTAGTTAATGTTTGTCTGTGTTTGTGTCAACAGTGGCGGGGAATAATTGTCGCCGCCTTGCCTAGCAAATTCGGAGCACAAATGCAACTTTTAATTCTCTTCTTTTTTTCTCTCTCTCTCTCTCTCTCTCTCTCTCTCTCTCTCTCTCTCTCTCTCTCCTTTCTCTTCTTTTGTTTTTCTCTTTGCTTGTCTCTCGATATATCTTTCTCCAAGTTTCTTTCTCTCTATCTCACACGCTCACACACACACACACACACACACACACACACACACACACACACACACACACACACACACACACACACACACAGAGTTATGAGTCACCATCACGTTCTTCAAAAATTATTCTGTCGATCATTAGACAGACACGAAGACGGAGACTCGGTCTAGTTTATGACGTCGTTAATAAATGCCTGTGTGAGTTAGTACTGCCTGGGGTAACATAGATAGACA